AATATACTGTATACACACATAATTTAAACAAAAAAAAATAAATAAAAATTTATTGCCATCAGAAAGCATTATTCACTTCTTGCATATACATATATATGTATCTGTCTAATCTTATGTATATAAATTTTTGGAGTACGTATTATTTTATAGAAAATCATTTCACTGACATTTCATTTCATAGATAATCAATTCATAGACAAGTTCATTTTAAAGAGTTTAGTTTACAGACAGTTCAATTCATCGACAATCTTTCTGATCTACTGAATTATTTTGGATAATTTAATTACCAAAATGATTGACTTGTTGATATGATTATTTGGTAATCAAATTATCCAAAATAGATTAGAAGTTATTCACTGTTAAAGATTGTTTTTAAAATAATTGTCTGTAAATTAATTGTCTTCAAAATGAAGTTGTTTATAAATTGATTGTCAATGTCTATGTGACTTCTCTAAAACAAACAGGGATTTGGATTATTTTTAATAATAGAGTCCAACAACTCTAATAAAACTTTCTATATACTTTTTTTTATTTATTCTTCGTAGTTTTATTTTTTTTAAAAAGTATTTTAAACTGTATAAATATAAAATTAAATTGATTTAAACGGCCAATCATACGAAAGTCTTCCTATGATATGTAGGAGGATCTGTTCAACATGTGATAATCAATATTCTTCTTATTATTCAATTTTTTAGACTTATTACAGTATTATGAAAGAGTTGATATTGTAACAGTAAGGTAAAATTTCACAAAAAAATTGTATTATATTACTTAAAGTCGATCATCACATGCGCGGTCTATATCCTGATGCCATTATTGTTCAAATTAAAATAAAATTATAAACTATTACTGTATAATCTTACAATCTTATATAATAACCAAAGCAAAGCAAATTTATTTGTTATTTTTAATTCTTCATATTTACACTTAAATTTAAGAAAAATCAAACTTGATTTTTTTTTCTTACTAATTTCAAATCCACTCAAAAAAAAAAAAGATTCACATAGCTTAGCCAAACTAAATAAAAAAAAATTTATTAACTGACAAATTTATAAATCCCAACCAAATTTATCTGCTATATCCAACCAATTTCTTTGACACATTAATGCAGTTATTGTATCCGGATCTAATAAAGTATGACTATCGTCAATAATACGACCTGCATAGCTAAACATCTGTTCTGATGCAACACTTGAAGCAGGTATAGCAAGAAAATCTCGGGCCATTGCTGACAAATTAGGGTCGTCTAAAGCGGAGGCACATCATGTGATCAACAGCCAATCAAATGATAGAATTTTGATGATCGCCAGCGAAG